ACATTCATTATTTGCTCATATTTATACACAAAAACGTTGGAGAAAAATAATGCTAAACTGCAACTTGAGGTAACAAATTTAAAAAATCACACAGATATGCGTTAGCACCGAGTTGCTTCTCTCGGAATGAACGTGTGAGCTGGTTTTCTCACCTCAGGAAAAAAGAGGATTACGGCCCTCATACCAAATTTAGTTGACGTTTTTGCTTCCTTACATGATCAGTCTGCATTTGCTTCTTTCTACATTCTAACGTTTCAGATGCCGCCCCATTCCGAAACAAGCAAATAAGGATGCGAGGTTTCTCGAAAAACATATCACTTTGATAGGCACTGCTACCATACTGCCTTTCACTGTTCCCGTATATCAATGGTCCAATATGTACAAATATGTATAAGCGGCAAATTATTTGAATGCGCGAAATCTTCGGAACAGGGGATGTCGGTCTTCCTCTTTGACAGCTTTAGTTTTCTGTGTATAAGAAATGGAATTGCTTCCAGAGAACGATGAGAACGAGCCTTCTTTTCGCATTATCTACAAGGATGTTGCATTTTAAAAACAATAAATTTGCTGTACTGCTGATGGAAATGGTACAATAACACGGACTGCTGTTTTAAGGCTGTTAGAAATCAACGTTTCGATAATAGTTGATAATGCTACGCAAATCAGAAAAAAATGCTTTGTAGTACGTTGATTAGGGTGAAAAAAAAGAACAGTCACCTTGACATCCCGTGAGCCATCGAGACTTTCTTCTTTGATATCCTCTTCTTCGGCATCTGCATCGGTGGCAGCCAGCACTTGCTGCAGGAGCTGCAGCTGAGATTCCTTGGTGGCCAATTTCAGCATTTCCTTCTCCATTCCCGGCAACCGATTTACCACCTGTTCCGAATAATAATGCAATCCAAGCAATTAAAATTTTCAAAATGCTGAAACGATTGGACAACTCTCCAAAAACCGCTGATATTTAAACCCAGGCTGGGACTTTTCGTGCCGTAACAAGATCGCAAGGAATCACAGTAGCTAACTCCGTGACGTACTGGCCCTTGTTCGGGAAGTTAATTGTGCAGCTATGTGGTATGTCAGTTGTAGATGTCGACTTCAGTGACCCGAC